CCCTTCCGCGGCAGGTCAGCAAAAGCATGCGGTGTAAGGGGGCATTGGCACGAAATGGCACAAGCTCCTCCGTGAACATGGCGAGGGCGGCTTCAGCTCTGAGGTCGCGCGGCACCTCACGCATTCTAAGCTCCATTGGAACCGACCGCAACACAATTGAATGGTATATGGCCTCTGGGGACAGGTCATCCACGAAGACTGTGCGTAGTGAAGGATGTCTTTCGACAAGGGATGCCCAGGCCTGTTGGATGCGTTCCACGGTAGGCAGGCAACCACCTTTCAGCTGCACGCGGTGGAAGAAGCGCATGTGGTAAGCTCCAGGCCGACGAATCTGGCCAAGGAACATGCCCTCTTGCATGGTGGTGCAGGGGAAAACATCTTCCACCTCTTCAAGTTGCGTTACACCTAGCTTGTCAAGATCGTAGTCATCTGACAACCGGGTCCAGAGATTCGAGTAATCCACTGCCATCTCCGCCACCTGCTGAGCAGGGGTCTCCTGCACTTCTGCCAAAGAGGCAGCCTCTCGGACGCCTTCGCAAGACAAGATATGCACCATGCTAATCTTGATCTGACGAGCTCGACATCTGGCTACGGCATCTAGGGCCTTGATGGAATCCCCGCCCAGCGCAACAAACGGCTGCTGCAGGCCTACTTCGGGGGCGGATAAACCCAGCGCTTCAGCCCAGGCGAGCTGAACCTCCTGCTCTAACCGACTGAGGCCGAGAACATGATCTTCGGCTTCCAAGCTGCGGCCAGTGATTGCGTCGAAAGTCTCCTGGCTCATCTTCTGTACCCAATCCCGCAGTTGTACGCGATCAATCTTGCCAGAGGCTGACATGGGCATGCGCCCAACGAATGCCCAGATGGTTGGTACCATGTACCGCGGTAGAGCGTGTTGAAGTTGCGAACGCAGCCTTTTCACTGTCTCCTGAACGATCGGATCGCGGCGATCTAACAGTGGAATCTCGTCGGCAGCCGTATCCTGGTTGCCAGTGCTGGTACCCTTAACTGTGAGAATAGCAATGAGGTTGTTCTTGCATAGGCCCGCCTGAGGCGCCATGGCAATGGCATACTGAACACCAGACTCCAGCCCCAGTTGATATTCCACCTCGGCCAGTTCGAGTCTCTGGCCATTGAGCTTGACTTGTGTGTCAGCACGGCCGCAGAAGGTGATAGTACCGTCCGAGTTCCAGCGCACAAGATCACCTGTTCGGTAGAATCGGAATCCACCAAACTGGGGATCATCCTTCGCCACAAATCCAACTTCTTCAAGGAATGCCTCAGCTGTCTTTACTGGATTCTTCAGGTATCCCATGCCGACAATGGGCCCAGAAACAAGTAACTCTCCAATAGCGCCAACAGGGACCAGTTTATTGTAATCGTGTACATCTGTAACCCAGCAAGCAGCCGAGTTGGGAGGACCAATGTTCAATGGATCCGCATCAGGCCGTGTAATCGGACGCGACGACGAGTTAATGGAACACTCGCTGGGGCCATAGAACTGCCAGAGATTAATCCGCTCTGACCACATAGTGACTATCTCCTTGGGGAAGGCTTCACCACCCAGGCACATTGTCTTCAGCCCGGGCACGTCGTCGGGTCTCAAGGCGCGGGCAAGTGAAGGTGTCATGATAACATGATTAACCTGCCACCTGTTGATGGCGTCGGATATGCTGGTTTCAATCTCCTCTGTGCGCGGCACACACACACAAGCCCCAGATCCCAGACTAGTGCATATCTCCAGTAGACTCATGTCGAAAGTGTGGCTCAGCATTTGAAGGACACGGCTCTCGGGACCATACTTCCAACTAGGGGCGTTACGGAGAGCACCGTTTAACCAGTTCGAATGGGACAGCATGCAACCTTTCGGTCGGCCCGTAGAGCCGCTAGTGAAAATCACGTAGAAAAGGTCCTCTGGCTTTCCGAGGGCTTCCACCGTCGCATCTGCAGCTGGCTTGGGATAGTTGTCGATAGGGAGCGTAGGCAGACGTTCAGCCCAGAACGATTCGTACTTCGTCCAAGTTACCACAAACGGTGCTTCGATGACATCCAGGATGGCGTCGAGTCGTCCAGCAGGGAGATTCGGGGGCACGCTAACAAAGGCACCGCCGGCCTTGGACACAGCCAGCATAGCAACCAGAGCTGCTCCCGACCGTTCGAAGGAAATGGGGACCACGGAGCCTGGACCCACGCCGCGTTGCTGGAGGTACGCTGCGAGCAGGCGTGCCTCCCTTACGAGGTCTGCGTAGGTAAGCTTCGTGTCCCAGGCATCGACCGCCAGGGAGTGTGGTCGATTAGTGGCGTGTCGCTCAATCACATCATGGAAACACTCTTCCCATATACCAGGGACATTAGCATTAAACCGCCAGATGTGCTCAAGGTGTGCCGGACTCATAAGGTTGAGGTCCTTGATTAGCCTGTCGTTGTCGCATGTCCCTACCTCGGCCAGCGCCTGGGCCATGGCAGTACCCACATTTGCTGCCTGCGCGTCGGTCAACAGAGATAGGTAGTAGGTCAGTGATAGTGAAATGTGTCCTTGCTCATCACGATAAACATGCAACGATAGGAAGGACTCCTAGATGTCCGTCAGCGTCCAGAAGCCCAGCCCGGCCACTGTACTACGGGTGGTGACACGCGTACCTCGGTTTGTGTAACAAATAACGACTCAATATCCTTCGCAAAGGTGATGATGGTATTGGCAGTCTCTCCGGAAACCTGGCCGGCACCCACGAGCGCTGGGTGCAACAATTGCTCGGCAGCGTAAGTGAGGGACTGGCGAGACATATCTCCCTCGACCTTCAAGTCGGCCAATGCTGTCGTATCCGGACCAGTCGTGGGCACCACGTAAAAGGCCACTTCATCGGTGCCTACGTAGCTGGATAGAACGAGGCCCCAGGCTGCCAGGATATGGGATTCTGTCTCACTACCTGGGGCCTTCCATCCGCTCAGGTCGATTGTGTATGTGCGCCGACCCGCGGCACGAGTATGATCTGGTTTCGGGACATACCCATCTGTCAAGGTAGGGAAGATGCAGGAAAAGCGACTCATGTTGTGCAGGTAGAACTATCACACTGGAAGATTTCACCGAATTCTATCAAGATAAAGATGAAGTCACTAGTTACTGAAACTAGATAAGTCAATAGTCACTATTGCATTGTAGTAGTACCTATTGACACTATATATATTCATCCATCACGTTGGTAACCGGTCTCCAGCTGCCGGTGTCCGTGCCACTAACGCAAAAACAACCAGGGTAAGCAAACAGAATAACATCGGATTTGCGGCTGAGCTGCAGCAGAGCATACTTTGTGATAAATTAAACAGGGTAAATACAAAGTCCATTGCTGCAGAGCTGAAAGACAAGTTGCATCGGAATCGCACCGGAAAACAGTGGAGACGTACTGTAACGTGACGGTAATCCGCGGTCCGAGATCCCAAACCGGGCTGAAGCCCTACTTAACGGACTCAGCAATCCCCTCTTGTTTTCGCACGCTTCAAAGACTTGATCAGCTTACTTTTAATTAATCCACAACTATTAAGGAGAAACAGAATTACAAGCTGAAAATAAGTATGGCCACCACAGCTGACGTGCTCATCATCGGCGGTGGTCCCGCCGGCCTCGCCACGGCCCTGGCGCTATCCCGCAAGTTACATTCTGTACTCCTCTTCGACAGCCAGGAATATCGCAACCGCCAGACATCCCACATGCATAATGTCCTCGGATTTGATGTAGGTTACTTCCCTTTCTTGCCTACCTAGAATCGATCATGCTAATTACTCCTGCATTTCCGTTAGCATGTGCAACCTGCACGTTTCCGCGCCGCCATCCACGACACCCTTCTGCATAGATACACCACCAATAACATCATCAACAAGAAGATCATCCAAGCACGCAAGCTACCCCACGACGGTATAGGGACCCGCTTCGAGGTCACCGATGAAGATGGAATTTCATACCTGGGTTCAAAGCTTGTTCTCGCTACGGGAGTACGCGACATCATGCCCCCCATTGACGGGTACGCCGAGAACTGGGGCCGGCTCATATTCCACTGCCTCTTCTGCCATGGGTATGAGGAGCGTGGCGCAGCAAATGCAGGTCTACTGGTAGCAGAGAGTTCACAACTACAGGCGAATCCCTCTGTGGGTCTGATCCTAGGACAGATGGTTCGTCGCTTCGCCGACAAAGTGACCTTATTCACCAACGGCATTGAAGACACCACGGTCGCCGTGAAAGAAGCCGGTGCGGAAGCGCAAGGGTTCATCATTGAATCTCGCCCAATCCTTTCGTTCGAACAAATTGTTTCGGCTGATGAGGGTTCGCGAGACACCCTGCGGGTCTGGCTGGGACAAGAAGACGGAGGGGAATCCCCTAACAGCTATATAGATATGGGGTTTCTCACGCATATGCCGGATACAGTCGTTACGAATGACTGGAGCAGCCAGCTTGGGCTAGAGCTGGATGGAAATGGGATTTACAAGCAGAAGGATGTCACGATGGAGACCACGGTGCCAGGCGTTTTTGTGGCTGGTGATCATGCCTCCGTAGCGAAGGACGTTCCCAATGCTGCGAGCAATGCCACGTTTGTGGCTTCGGCAGTTGCAGTGCAGTTGACGGTCGAGCATTCCCAGGGACAGTAGTAGAGTAGTCCGGGGTTATGTAGAGTAGTAGCATTGCGGTGGTGCAGGATGTGTGGTGATTAGGATATTTGCGAATTGCTTATGTACGGAGTAGTATGTATTATTGGAACAATTGAGCATAACGTAAAGCGAATTGGGACTTCTTTTGTTACCTGGGCTCAGCTCCTGTTGTATGTGGAACACCCATTCCGGTCCGGTTGGTGATAATGCATCGATTTATTTCCATCTGCGGACCGAGCTGCAGATCCGAGTCCGGCCGGAAATCCGCTCCACCGACCACAGACGCCCGATCACCCCATCGTATATGATCGTTTGGAAGGAGGCCGCTGCGCATCTCCAGACCAGTCCCAATTTCTCAGATTATGTTAGTCTCTGCAGCAGATTCCTCCGTCGTTGAGGACCGGCCTAGTGACTCCGAAAAAATCGCGCACGAAACCCCTACCGACACGAACGCACCGACACAATGGGGCCAGATTGCGATACTGTTGGCGCTGTATCTGGTGATGTTTGCAGTTGCGCTGGTACAATTTTATGTTTCTATGCTTCAAAGCCGTCAATTACGAAAATGCAAAGCTAATGTGTTGATGCTCTGACAGGACAACACGATACTTGCACCTGCTCTCCCCGTCATCACGGACCATTTTCACTCTCTCGACGACATGGGATGGTACAGCTCGGTCTACCTACTGACAATGTGCGCCACGCAGATCCTCCACGGTCGGCTATGTACCATGTACTCCATTAAATGGGTTTACATGACAAATTTGGTAATCTTCGAAATCGGATCCGTCGTGTCGGCGGCAACTCCCACCTCGGTTGGCTTGATACTTGGACGGGCTATCACGGGAATAGGCGCTGCAGGGCTTCTTTCAGGGACTATCTTGCTCATTGCTGCGAGCATGTCTTTGCGGCTTCAGGCAACGGCTTTGGGAATTCTTGGGGGGCTGAAGGGCGCTGCAGCCGTGGCTGGGCCATTGTCAGATATACTCCTTTTCTCCATATATCTCTCCGAGAAGTATAAAGGTCAATGCTGACGAGTAAATGTTTATAGGATGGGTGGGGCTTTCACAGACAAGGTTTCCTGGCGATGGTGCTTCTACATCAATCTCCCCCTGGGCGGAGTCGGCGCCGTGGTCATCCTTTTCTTATTCCATGCGCCCTCTCCTACTTTCGTTCCTGATGCAACGAAAGGCAGCCGACTAAAACAGCGATTAAACCAGCTCGATATTGAGGGCACAGTACTCTTCAGTGCGTGCATTATTTGTCTCCTACTGGCCATCGAATGGGGTGGGGCAAAATGGACCTGGAGCAACGGTCGCATTATTGCCCTGTTCGTGATCTTCGGGGTCACATTGGTAGCCTTCTGCATTGTGCAGGCCAAAAAGAAAGAAATGGCAATGATCCCACCAAGGGTAGCGGAGAACCGAAATGTCTGGAGCTGCGGTCTATATAGCGCCATGCTTGGAGCCGCATTCTATATTCTCGTTTACTATGTAAGCCCTCGTCCTATTAGCTCTTGAAGAGCGACATAGTGCTTCAACACCGCTAACAAACATCTGCTCGCAAACAGCTCCCTATATGGTTCCAAGTAATCAAAGGTGCCTCCGCCGTACGCTCGGGGATTATGAACCTTCCCATGCTCGTATCGCTGATTGTGATCTCCATTCTCAGCGGTGCCTTAGTCTCCGCCATGGGATACTATACTCCCACTATGATCATGGGCTGTATCCTGGTACTCATCAGCACCGCGCTGATGACCACCTTTACTCCGGACACTGGGACCGTAAAATGGGCTGGCTACCAAGTCATCATGGGTGCTGGAATTGGCATGGGGGCGCAGCAAACTGTCCTCGCTATGCAGGCTTCACTACCCGCTACAGACGTGCCTGTTGGTACGGCTCTGATGATATTCTATCAGACGCTTGGAGGTGCTGTTTTCCTGATCGTGGCGCAGAATATCTTTCAGCATGAGCTGTTGAAAAGATTAACCGCTAGGAATATTCCGGGTGTAGATGCGAGCAGTGTGGCCGCTGCGGGAGCGACGGAGGTTAGGAGCCTAGTGCCCGCAGAGTATCTGGGAGAGGCGTTAGAGGCGTATAATGCAGCAGTGGTGAGGACGTTTTATATCTCGGTTGCGTTGGCGGGAGTGGCGGTTTTGGCAACGTTTGTGCCGGAGTGGAAGTCGGTTAAGACGGGGGTGAAGAATAGAGAAGAGCAGGACAATGTCGAATGCGGAGGGAATGAGATCGTGTAGATGTTGCTCTTGTGTATTTAGGTACAAGGTAAAAGCAATTTCTTCAAGGACGATCCATCAAGTCTCCTGGACGATCCTACTTTTGCTTGAGCGGTTCAATGAGCGGTAAATCGCACTCTGAATAGCCACCAAGATTAACCCGGATAAGACCAAAAATATCATGGTCAGTATACCCCTCGGATAGCTGTGAATGTCGCATCAGACCATGTAGCTCCTTGTCTTGCATGATGGACACTTACCCATTCAAACCATCATCATGTCGGAAGATCTGCGTCCCGGCCATGAGCCCAGCCGTAGCAGACATGACAACTAGAAATCATGTTCAGCATCCACATACCAATTTTAAAAACAGGGGAAACGTACACATCCTACCCAACCAGGTTAGTAATCACGGCAAGATATCAAACTGGATTTATAAACTCACGCCACACTAACACTTCTCTCCCCGGGACTAGAGCAATTAACCTGAATCCAAGCATTATGAACAGGATGATACCCGACCGCCAGCCCATTAACAGTCGTCCAGAGGCCAAACCGTCCCCATCTATCGACGTGGGCCTGCAAAACCCTCAACAGAATGAGTGCGACGAGATACACAGCAATTGCAAGCATAACACTTATCCCCCGTCTGCGGGACCAGTCACTCAGAGATGCGAAGAAGACAATGACGGGTAGAGTCAGTAAGCTCCCTATTGCAGCGAGAGCGTTTGCCTGGATGCGAGAGAACCCCAGTGACATGATGATAGTCGGAGTATACGTGGTGAGGGGGCTCCAGGTAGCGAAGACACATGCTGTGGCGAGGAAATGAGGCCATTTGGTATAGTTTGTGAGTGTTTCCCATACCACATTGACAGGAATCGTTTTAGGGGTGGTCCCATTCCATGACTGAGATTTGCAGGCAGACTCTTCATCAGAGGTTTCACTAGCACTTCCCTCTCTCTCCGGCAGTAGTGTGAACAAAGCGATCGCCATAATGACCGACCATATTCCCTCCACTACTGATATCAGTAAAGTTCGATAACGGCTAATGGTGGAAAAAACCAGTACTCACGCAAAAATATCCACTGCCAACCATGCAAACCTCCCTTCCCATCTAACTTGAGCAAAGCAGCACCAAGTAACGGCGATACCGCAGCGCCCCCAAACATTCCAAAAAAGAAAACTGCAATGCGCTTCGTTAACTCCTCCTTCGTATACCACGTTGAAAGAGTGTACATAGCAGCTGGGATATACCCGGCCTCCGCGAGACCCAGTATGCTTCGCGTAAGCAGGAAACCCGTCTTATTCCGAATGAAAATCTGCAATGCGGCAATGATGCCGAAGATGCAAACTTGGGCACTGATCCAACGGCGGGGTCCAACCTAGTACATGTACACTGAGCTTGATTGAATTCACAGGATAACGTCTATGCAGGAGATAGTGTAAGAGAAGAAGTACCTTTTGTAGAACCATATTGGACGGTATTTCCAGGACAATCACTCCCAAGAACATTAGCTGATTTCCTAGATTGATGATGTCTTGGCTTATGCCAATGTCCGATGCGAAACCTCCCGTTAGCGCACTGGCAATATTTGTGCGGTCGATTTGGTAGGTTGCGAAGCCGATCGTGAGAAGTGGGAGGACTCGGAAATCGGCTCTGATTGTCAGTTATTAGTGGGTGAAATTTCAAAGAAGCTTCTGTATCGGGCAGGTCTTACATCCTCGGTGTTGTGGTCACATCATTGGAGACATACCCGCATCCTGAAGTGTTGGATAGATACATTATTTCGTGGAAGTTGGATCATGGGAAGGTATTTGGCAAAATTGAGGACTGATTGTGTAGAAATGACCAAGATTTGCGGTCTTTTTGAGCAGACGAATTAGGGACCTTGGAGGTTTACCTTTGGGGTGATAAGATAAGAATTAGTGATCGACGGACTACTGTTTAAAACTTTTTTTTACTCAGATATTTCTTTTCTTAAGATCATCGTTTATTCTACTACGACAGCGAAATTTCAGTTGCTTGTGGACATTAAGTTTGTAATTGACTTCGATGTTCATTCGCGTTGCATATGTTAGCCGCCCGCCTCGCATTCATCGCTACGCCGATACATCCATCAACTGCATTAACAAACCCATCTGGACAGGCATGAAGATGGCAAGACGGCTATAAAATCCAAACGCCATGTGCAGGTACATCCGTTCTTCATCCAATCGGTCGCACGATTGCCCTATAAGAACGAGAATGCATGCCGCGATTTTCGGAAGCGAGCGAAACCTCCTAGCTCGAGGTTAGTCGACTAGCTTCTCAACGAGATTATTGGGGTGGGCTTACATACTAGCCAGCATCTGGACATGGGTGTGCTGGCTACATTGTTCCAACACCGACCGCGCAGCAGCGAGACATCGTACCTTACTTCGCTCATAGGCCTCTCTCTCCTCAGTAGCCAGTCCCTGCTGCGCGAGTTGGAGCCATTTTCCGTGAATCAAGAATGTAAGAAAATAGGAGCTCAAATGCATTTCTGACTCCATGTGCTCCTGTAGGGAAGAGAGGCGCTCCGAAGAAGAATTGAGCGAATTGCTATATGTCTGTAGGATACCAAGCCATGATTGAACCAGGCAATATGCATCTTCTATCTGACGGCACATGCCAGCTCTTGGCGCTCGGAGGGCTGCTTGGCTATAGAGCGAATCTATCACACGGTCGCAGACACGCCCGTATAAGCATTGAAGCGTCAACCGTGCTTCATCAGGGCTGTGGAATCCATCACTGGGCGAATAGTCGGTGAGCTTGTCGCACATCATCTAGAGAGTGAATATTAGATCATCTTATACTTCTGTGGTGAGCAAGGACTCTCACCGAAGATCGGCCTCTGTTCACCGCGTCGGCTTTTTCAATGGCATAGAGATGCCAGAAGGCATTCTTAAGCAATCGTTCGTCGGCCTCGGCGCAAAGCTGTCGCAGGCGCCGAGAGCTATGAAGTCCCAAATCCTGCACGAACTGGACGCCGAGGGTGACGAGACGGGATTTGGTGCGATGACCGGATTTGTCTGCGAAGATAATCTGCCACAGGTTAATTTTTTTTGGATGGGCTTCACCATTAAGCCAACTCACCATGATCAAAATCCCCTGGATGGAAAGGTTAGCTGTATCGACCGAAACCGGGACAGAACACTTGCCTGAAATGCCCGAACAGTCGCGCTATCCATTGTCAGATAGTTCGATTCTGACAACGCTCGTCGAAAATATCCAGTGGCCCGTGACATGCCTTCCACGGCACTTTTGATACCCGAATGTATGCTTACAAGATAGCAGCCCAACGACAGGACGGCATAGGCCACCACCACCGTGGCTCGATCGGAGCAGTCGGACTTCAGCACAGCGTCCACACACTCCTGAGCACTTGCCATAGTCAGGAACATATTGACACCAGAACTGCAGGCTATCAGCTAAGTCCAGGAGGCTCCCCGTAAATCGTAGGCAACCTACCAGGGTGTTTCAAAACATGCTGGACGTCATCAGTACCCTGGTTGTGCTCCCACCTAAATGCAAGATCGTTGGATGCTAGATGCTCCTTACCTTGTATGTAGCTACTGATTCGAGGCTCACTCTCGAGCATTGGTCCCAGCAATGGTTTGTGGTCCTCAGACAAAAGGTAGGATGTCATCTCATCGCCCACAATATCGCAGTTAAGAAGCTTTGCGGCTCGTTTCACCTTTTCGCGGCGTGGATGATCATCGTCGAGAAAAAAAGGGGAATACAGTACCGGAATGTCGAAGCCTGGAGTTACTTGGCGAGCTATTGTACTTGATGAGTATGCCAGTTAAAATCGAATTTTGCGGGGGCCACCGTACTTTGAAACTCCTTTTGCAGCTGTCAGAAATCAGCTTTGACTGCAACATTAGTCCCACGATCTAATACAACCTTACCATATGGATAGAAAATGTCCTGTCACCCCCTTGTTCATGATCCAAACTGGCCGCTGGTGGGTCACCATAAGGCGGAGGCAGAGTAGCAGGGCTTGTCTCGGATTTGGATGGACCTCCTAGGACCGAGCCATCAGCCGACCAGTCCGGGCAAGCGTTGCATGATACATCGGGAAGTTCCCAACAGCACAAGTCTAAAGAACTCGGAGCAATTGTCTCCATCCATTCCTGAGGGCTGATTGAGTCCTGTAACGGCAGATCTGGGTCACGGTCGAATAGACTCCAGCCAGGACTGAGCCGCGAAGGGGTGGAGATGGACCTTGCTGATGCTGGACCTTGTGAATAGATGCAAGGGCTATCCTTCCTCTGAAAGCGGTGATGTCAGGATGAAGACATGCGTACCGAATGACTGGGAGGACAAGGTGGGAACCTACTCGACAATGCATGCAAGGATTACCTCCATCACCTACGGTGTTGATTTTTGGTCAGCTTGAGAACAAAAAAGGAGTGGAATCATGCTATATTGCAAAGTGGCAAGATCCACCATATCGGAAGAGGAAGATAAGGAAGATAGCAAGAGGCGGGACATCGCTGGGAACTTACATCTTGTCTTCCGCGCCTTACACGGCTCGCATGCGCCTCTTCGTCGTGTAATACCCTTACGGATTCCATTCATGATGGCTGTTGGCTTCAATCACGACACAGCAGATATCTGTAGACTGCAAGATCACGCAAAGAGTCTCGTCGAAGACGCAATCGAAAGATGAACAACAGGTCTATAAAAGGCGGGCGCTGCCACCTTCGGAGAGTTGCGTACTACCTTTGGCACGAGAACATGGAACAGTGTATGCACCTTACGAGTGTTCACACTTCCCCTCTCGGGATTTGGTTACTCACAATTAATCTGGGATAGTTCCCAGCCTAGTCCGCCCCACCAAGCCCAACATGAGTCTCAAATGCTTTTGCGCTCCGATCATTGTGCCATCACCAAAGCCTTCCAAATCCCCAAAGTGGTCTTTTTGGGATTGGCCGTGATGGCAAAAAGCAAAGAATGAGAAAATATCAAGCGCATCACAGGGGCAAATCCCTATGACTGCACACAGTATATGGGATGATTGATCGGGACAGACAGAGAAAGAGCAGGGCGGGGTCTGGTTCCTGCCAGGGCAGCCTGCCTCTTCATGTTGGGGACGGCGGGTCCAGTCACTGCAGCAGTGCATCGCGTATCTCCGATCATCGCACACGAGAGAGATGTTCTTGTAATGACAGATGGTCGAGAGATTTACCATCCAATGAGGTTAGCATTAGAGGCAACCTGCTCGCCCTCGACCAATCGCACGGCTGACGGAGAGACAGGCGTGGATTGCATGTACCGACGGGCAACTGTGCCCATTTGGCGCTATTGGCGGGCTTGGCCAGACTCGCAGGTACTTGGAATGTTTGATTGATAATAACCTGCTGTATGACGTCGGTCGCCAGTGAGAGCGGCTTGCCATCCCTAACGTGTGTCTAGTAGTCACCGGTGGAGGTGTCCTTTGGTTCAAGCCGTGTTTGTCCACAGACATAAACTATCTGTCGTCGGGCTTTCAAAGGCCACAGAACCCCACAAACGTGCGATGGGCAGGCTCCCTGAGAGCTCCCCAAGCCAATTACCCGGATATGTGCACCAGAATGAGCCAAGGCTTTTTAAGCGACTATGAATCTAAGTGCTGCGCCGACCGAAGCACTAGGTGAATCACCCCGGACCAACGTTACATTTACCATGCAGGTTGGATGACCGGGCACACCCCACTGCATCGACGCTATTCACGCCACGCACACACCTCCTTTAATAGGTAAATATAATCAAGGAATCGGTGTTTAGATTTCCCGTCTCCAATTTCATCCGGTCATCTACTATTGAACGCCACCTAGATCGGACTGGGAAGACCATAGCCAGCCACTTCTTAGGGCCGGGCCTGGCCGTGAGTCTCAGCCGCGGCCCACTGACCCACACCAGCCCCATACACCCTGGTCTAGGACAGCGCCAAAGAAAATATTTTCACAGGGGTTGGCCTATTCCAACACCCGGTCCAGCACAGCTCCTCGTTCGTACCCCCCTCTGATCTGCGGTGCTTTCGGTCGGCTATCGGATGACAATTAGCCGAAATACTAACTCGGTGTTTCGTGCTCATTCTCTTCCTCTCTCTCTGATACAAACAACACTGTCCGGGACTCAGAGTATTCCTTCTGGCCAGTCCATCTCAGAGGAGAAACAATTGAGGAAATTGACTGTGCATGACGTTCGCCAGCGGTGGCTAGCTCGAAGTTTCCCAAAGGATGTTCGCATCGCTCGACTGGCGATGCTGATATGGCCCAGACCTCGCGAACCCGACCGGTGGCCATATACGTGTGAGTAATCACCTATACGAGTATCATTAACAACTAGGGCATCTATCGAATACCAGTGGGAGGGAACTCCAGGACAGTTGCAAACTGATGTAGGACAGGCTGCTGCACGAGTATCGCCGTGATGCATTTTAGCATTGATCACCGAATTTGTAAGGGCCCAGATACCATGCCATCTACCGAATTACACGGAATGAGGATAAATCTATGCTCTTTAGGGGTCTAGGAAGGAAACACCTACATGAGCCCTCTTAAACGGAGACGGCAAGCACCAGCTGAGGAAAGCTAGCTAGACCACGGGAATCAATGGCCCCCGTGGCATCTTCCAGCGACGGAGAAAAAAAGAGGAATGGAATTTCAGCTCGACTCCAAACGGCGGGGAGCGTGTTAATGCGCCTAGATCTACCCGTACTCCACCCATGCCGCCGTTCAGCCAGGAAATTGATCCTGCTGCGTCAGTGGCACACACCATTGCCATACGTCCGAGACTTCCCCACCCATGACTTTTCCAATAGCAATGCGCAGCAGTCGACACGCAGGTCCTGCCTGATGAGACCCAGCTTGGTACACTACTGTCTGCCGGGCCGATGGACTGAAAATCAGTCGAATGGGGAGCAGCCAGTGCCATGTACTGGTGGCAATGACTTCGGACAGGGTATCGATGTCATCGACCGAAATCTGCAACGGCATCGAATTAGCGCCATTCCTTGTAGTTACTCCACTGGCAGCAGAATAATAACCAAGAGTGCGAGGGTACCCATGAGTTCAGCAGAATACATACCGGCCCAACCTTCACCTTCCACCCAAGTTGTATGGCAATCGCAACGCAAGAATTACTAATGATGCTCCGGCTGGGATGTCTCGGTACTATCAACGTATAGTTACCGTGCTCCTCCTGCACCCCAATAAATGCAGACGCTGTGAACCCATCAATGAATGACCCATGTCGGGTGTTTTTCAGCCGGAGCTTCATACTATATCCATCCCGTTCTGCCTGTCGACCATCTAGCTGCCCTGTATCCTCCAACCCCCTTTTCCACCCCTCATCCCAAGTTTTATTTCCAGAGCAGTTCTGAGTCTCCGCTGCAGTGGGAACGTCATCAGCACCATCATCGATCAGAACTATTGCGTTCTGCGCCGCCGTTCGCGGATACACCACACCCGGCCGCACAAACACACAGAAAGTATACTGCGCCGGAGAATCGCGAATGCGAGGAACACTAGGGCCAAACAGAAGCGGGCGAATGTAGAGCACCGCATCTGTCTGAGGCGGAGGTACATAGGAAGTATTGACTGCTACTGCATTCCTAACACACTCTAGGAAGATGTGCTCGGGAACAGCCGTCATGCCTACCGCCGCTGCAGCATCTGCTAAGTGACGGGCATGATCGTGGGGCCGGAAGAGAAGGATGCGGTTATCTCGCGTACGTCGGGCTTATAGCAAAAGCCGAAATCAGTGCTGAATTACTTTGCTGAGAAGAGAAGAATGTAATAAATTACCGGTAAGGGACTCATAATATGGTCCTCCGTAGTTTAGTCCCACTGCGAAGCCGTTGATTTGAAGATTTGGGTTGTTGATCACTGTGGGTGCGCTCCAGGAGCTTGTTGTAGGGGTGTAGGTGCATTCCACATGAGAAGTGGGAACTATATCAGTTGTAGTAAATCTTAGCTCCAATGCTATAAGTTCATGACTTGCAAGGCCGTCAGCGAGAGAGACAACGTACATTCAACGCTTTGGCTTCCAAGGGAAGACCAATCTGTCGGACCGGTTAGCGCACCGCATCGGAGTACGGAGTCCTTAATAGGCGGCCAGGGGTACAAGACTTACCGATGGTATCGGATGGAGGCTCAGGGAATATATCTGAATTCATTTTGGCTCTGATAGTGACGATCTATAGGACAGATCGGTGTTTATTTTGGAGTGCATTCTTTGAAGTGTATACAGCGATGTTATATTTCAGGCAGGGCGCCTTGTTTCCGTATTACCGGAAAGTGAGGATGGGGCCGGAATTGTCATGCATGGCACTAGTTTGCCACTCTATTCCAGAGTAACTTCCGGATAGCGGTCCGAGGATCGACGGATCTAGGCTCGGTCTTGCCGTAGCTCAAACCCTTCGTCTTGTGGATTAGTGTCAATTCTGAGAATGTACGTGGGGTATTCGGTTTTTTGTGACTAACGAGGGTAGAGTCATAGAACGTCTCATCCCCCGACAATGAATCTTAGAAAAAGTGATTTGGTACAGATATACTGCATTTTTGGATAAGCTAGAGCTATAGCTGGTAGGTAGGATAATCTCACAGTATACATCAGATGCGCAGAATAACAGAAACATGTACTACATCAGTGATTGCTGTGGTTAGTCCAATCTTTGTTAGGCCACTTCCAATTCCCCAGATTTCTGAATATCATTACCTGGGATGTGTATGTATCTTCCCAAGATTTCACCCTTTCCCAGCCACGATGCTTCACTAAGCGCGTAGAGCGGCTTTTGTCCCAGCCTCTAAAGCTCGACCCACCATCATGGAAGACTCTCCTAACCCAGCTTTTTATATCCTTGTATGAGCACACTGGGATAGTGCTCAAGCTGACTGATGGACTTTCGTGAAGTGTTTTGAATTCATATTGGTTAATCACGCATAAACTCATGTCCATCTCAGAAAGCCAAAAATCAGTCCTAATTCGAACCCCGATGGAAGAATGGCCTGTAAACTCGCAGTCATGTCTGAGATTCCCATATGGCTTCCTGCTGTCGGCATTCAATGGGACATTATCACCAAATATTATCTCGCCGGGACGTAGTATATGTGTTTGAGTGTCCTTACACTGTCGTATCAAATGAAGCTTATCGCGAAATGTGATACTGGTGCATGGACAGATGTCGACCTTGCCCGCATACGGCATACATTGAAAATCTGCTTTAAGGAAGTAGCATTTGAAACAGCATGGCTTTTGCGGCCGGACGCGACAGAGAGCGCTTGGATGAAGCGTCGAACAATCATGGCAATATTTCCAGCGGTCATTCTTAAGCCGAAGAAGTAGCTGTATTCTAGGCTTTTCCTTGGCGTTGGGGCATAGCATCACCCGTTCTTCGGGAGGGAGAAGCTCACAAATTTTCATTCCTTGCGTCTTAAGGTATCTCTCCAGACAAGCGAAGATATATCTGCAACTCAACCCGAAGCAAATCTGGTCGGGGGTGGTCAGCAGGCCCAATATTCTTTCAATTAACTCCGGTGGTACGCTTCGCCGTGGCGTTTGCAATTGCCTTTGTCGAAACACAGACTCTATAA